ACCCCTGGGTCAGGAAGATCCGCTGGAGGAGGAAATGGCAACACACTCCAGTATTTCAGCCTGGAAAATTCCATGGGCAGAGGAGCCTGGTGGGTTACAGTCTATAGGATTGCTAAGAGTCGGACACGATTTAGTGACTGAGCACACACAACAGCTATCTTAAAATATAGTTCTAATCATGTCATTTCTCCAATCAACAATTTTCAGCACGTCCAAATTTCTTCCTAATAAACCAAAGAATCTTAACTTAGCTCTTGAAAATAACTTTGGAACTTTTTTCATTCTCTCTCCACATACTTTATGCTCCAGTAAAACAAATTGCACTCTCTTCTTTGAATATACTATCCAAAAACTATTTGTTGGATTTTTTTGTAATGTAAAATATTAGGGGAAAACGCAATGGAAAGAAAATTCAATTTTCAAGAAATTAATTACCAAGTTCCACCCCAGGATGCTCCTCTCACTTGCATGCACCATTGTGTTCTACACTTCTTCATGCATACTTCATAATGACCTGAGTCAGAGAGTGAGTGGATGCTTAGGATAAGCCTGCTCTATACCAACTTTGGTTTAAAAAAAGAAAAGAGTCAGGTTTTGTTGCTATTTTAACCTAAAACCATCAAAGAATTCCTTTTTCTAAAATCTAAGATTGCTAACTAAAAGTCCCCTACTTGCAGCAATCCACTGCCTTCTTTGGCAGATTTGATAGTCTATGGCTGACAGTGTTTGGGCATCCACTCGGTTTTGGATGGAGAGCCATCCCCTTCTCTGGGAATGCTCTTACCTACCTCAACACACAGGGTAAGGCCACCCATCAGTGGCCAGGTTTGTACCATGTTACCTCCTCCTTCTGATCTTGATTGATTGGACAATAAGTGTTGCCTGATGCAACCTGGGTCAATCACACTCCTCCAAAGACATTTGGAATTGAAATAGAGTGACTGTGAGCCAGGCATGACATGCAGCTGGAGGTATAAGCTGTAAATAGCAGGAGCTGTGAAGAGAATGCAAAAGCTATCCTGCAGCCAGAAAGAAGAAAAAAATAAAATGACTTGAAACAAGTAGACACAAAAGAGAGTAAAAGTGTTCTGTTGCCTTTCAATTCCTGGTGTCAAACCTTCCAGGGCTCTGACTCCCTCCCTTTCCTGGATTCACTGAGAGGCATTCTTCTTCCTCCCCTTCTCATGTTCTTATATTGGACTAACTTGATATCTCGTGTTGTTGTCTAGTCACTAAGTCATCTCTGACTCTGCAACCCCATGGACTGTAGCCCACCAGGCTCCTCTGTCCATGGGATTTCCCAGGCAAGAATACTGGAGTGGATTGCTGTTTCCTTCTCCAGGGGATATTCCTGACCATGTGATCAAACCCACGCCTTCTGCTTTGGCAGGCAGATTCTTTACCACCGAGCCACTAAGGAAGCGCTCGGTATCTCATACTGTCAACTAAGAGCCTTAACTAGTACAATAATATCATTATTATTGAAAAATAATATTTTTTCAATATTATTTGAAAAATCTGTATCTGTATTTCATCCTTCATTCATTCAACATGCATTGATTGAGCAGCTACCAGATGCCAGAGACTCCGTTAGCCTCCCTGCAGGGATGTATAAAGAGAGAGAAATAGATAATTATCATTGAATAAGAGAAATTGTCTGTCAGATCAATGTGTAGAATAGAGAAATATGGCAGATAAATGGAGACTGAGTGGAGGGAACATAGATATTTTGAAAGCAAATGGTGCTTTTTAAAAAAATTTAATTTATTTTATTTATCTGTTTTTGGATGTGCCAGGTCTTCATCGCTGTGAGGGGGGCTGTCTAGCTGCTGTGCGGAGGCTTCTCATTGCAGTGGCTTCTCTTGTGGAGCACAGGCTTCAGGGCACACGGGCTTCAGTTGCTGCAGCACAAGGGCTCAGTCGTTGCGGCTCCCAGGCTCTAGAGCACAGGCTCAGTAGTTGCGCTGCACAGGCTTAGCTGCTCCCCAGCATGTGGAATCCTCCCAGATCAGGAATCAAGCCTGTATCTCCTGCATTCGCAGGCAGATTCTTTACCACTAGATCACTAGGGAAGCCCTTGAAAGTAAATGGTGTTGTAACTAAACCCTAAGCCAAGGCTTTATCAAGAAAGAAGGAAGGGTGCCCAGAGAAAGGCAGTAACACATGCAAGGTGTAGAGACAAGCAGAGATAGATCTGTCCTGGGAGACACTTCCCTTTGGAACCTAGCATAGGTACATGTGATTTCTCCATGCAGGAAAGGGGGGCCAAACACTAAGATCTGGGCCAAACGTAGGGTATGTTCTGTCATACTTGGATTCTCTCTTTAGGTGATGGAAGGATATTGATAATTTTAGGCAGCAGATTTAATACCTTAATAGCTCAATATCATCAATATCAATTGATCAATCAATATCATCAATATCAATAGCTCAAGATCATCAACTTTGAAGGGTACATTCCAGTATTTTAGTGGGTGGACTTATGCAAAATAGCTCTTGTTATTTAATATTAAGTGCCTTGGAATTCAGGTAAAGTTATGCTTGCCCCTTTATCTGGAGTAATACCTTTTGATGTATGTGTGTGCTCAGTCACTTCTGTCGTGTCCGACTCTTTGTGAGTCCATGGATTTTAGCCCGCCAGGCTCCTCTGTCCACAGGATTTTATTAGTCAAGAATACTGGAGTGGGTTGCCATGCCCTCCTCCAGGGGATCTTCCCAATCCAGGGGTTGAACCTGCGTGTCTTGAGTCTCCTGCATTAGCGGGCAGATTCTTTAGCACTGAGCCACCTAATACGTGGTAAAATTCCTCTTCTTCTCATGATTTCTCTTCAACATGTTCTATCTCTTTCTCTCTCTATACGCACTCATATCTTTTCATCATTTTTAAAATTCTTCTTGTTAATTTCTTTAATTATTTATCTCTTAACATAAATCATTTTCTAATTTTACTTTACAGTAATTATAATTAAATTTTAATAATAGACACATAGCAATTAATCTCATTACAATTAAAAATGACAGAAAGCTTGGAAGGATATAAAACATTTTGGATGTCAAGCCAAGACCCAAAGGGATCCCCACAAACTAGAGTGATTATTGGACTCTAAGAAAATCCACATATTACTGATAAAACGTAAGGACCACACTTGGGTCCTAAAAACCCAAGTACCTTACAATAACATGGGGGATAGTGCAAGCAAGAGAGCTTTTAGCTAGCCATTCACTCCATGTGCGTGTGCCACATGGACTGTGGCAGTGTGCCATGACTTTTCTCAAAACAACTGTGTCTCATGATCCATGTGCGGACATACACCTCTCATAAACCTGGAGCCCACGGTGCCACCATTCTCAATACTGGGTCTATGACATGAAGAATATTGGACTTATGAGGCTCATCACATTTTAAGAAATATATAGAAAGTTTCTTTATTTTTCTATAAAGGTTTACTTGTTCCAAGAACTATGATATCATGAGAATTAAAAAAAGTGGGAATTTATGATATTCAGTTTGGTGATAAGAAGAGTAAGTTGTTTTGAAATATGCAAAGAATTGTCATGCAGATGAGGAAAGGACATTGGACTTGTTCTCTACAGCACCAAAGGGAAGAAATAGGACCAGTGGGGTTAGGATAGGAGATATACGTAGACAGACTTTGGTTTGGAATAAGAGTTTTCTACGGGTTAAGTCTGTCTAATGACAGAATGAGTTGCCTCAGATAGAGTAATGATTTCTCTGTCCCTGAAAGTATTCAAGCTCAGGATGCATAGCTACCTGTGAGGTAGTTACAGAAGGGATATGAACTTTACAGCTATTTTTGGGTTAGGTTTCTGAAGTTTCTTTAGGAACACTAATTTTACTGATAGAAATAATCTCTTATACCATCTTCACTTTTAAAAATCTTTCCTGTCCTTTGAGACAAAGATAAAGGTCCTCCAATAAGCTTTCTATGTAATATAATAGAATTATCATTTAGATATTATAAATGCACTTTGTACATATTGTACTTTTATTTTTTTTCACATTATTTCATATAGTGTCTATTAATATGTCTTATTGCCTCTCATAGACTATACATTCCTAAGGAGAGAGATAAAGCTTATTCACTTGGGTATCCCCTAAAGTGCTTTGTACAAACCAGATACTTAATAAGTGCTTGCTGGATGAAGGAAGGAATAAATGGATGAACGAATGAATGAATACTGTTTATTAATGATACTCAAAGGCAAACATCCTAAAGATTTGTGTTAATTTTACTTCTCCTTTTAACTATTTTGTAATTATTTCAAATCTGAAGTACAATTCTAAGGCACCATTTTCCACTTACTCAAATTTCTCATTGTTAACATTTCATTGTATTTGTTCCATCTCTTTCTTTCAGGATCTCTCTCCCTCTCTCTGTATGTACATAAACATTTATATCATCTACACATATACTGACATATATAAGCATATATACATTATATTTATATTATCTATACACATATATGGGCTTCCCTGGTGGCTCAGATGCTAAAGAATCCACCTGCAATGTGGGAGACCTGGGTTTGATCCCTGGATTGGGAAGATCCCCTGGAGAAGGAAACAGCTACCCACACCAGTATTCTGGCCTGGAGAACTTCATGAACAGAGGAGCCTGGCAGGCTGCAGTCCATTGGGTTGTAAAGAGTTGGACACAACTCTGAGCAACGTTCACACATGTATATATATCCTTTTATATAATCTACATGTATATTTGCATGTATATATATACACACACATATTATATTTTCATTATCATTAGTCTTTAACATTTTGAAGGCAAGCTGAAAACAGTATTCTTCATCACCCCTAAATATTCCAACTTGTCAGAAATAGGGACACTCTCCTACAAAACTCTTGGACAGGCCTTTAAAGCAGGAAATCAGTAACAATACCACACTCTGTCCAAAACAGTTATCCTATTTTATTTCACAAACTGTACCAACAATGATTCTTTTATGTTTTGGTCCAGAATGGCATCCAGGAACTCAGTGTATTTAGGTCTCGTGTCTCTTTAGTCTCTTTCAAATCTGTATATAGTTCTTCATTCTTTCCCTGTCTTCCATGTTCTTAATAGGAAGGGTCAATACTGGTCAGTTTATAACATAGTAGCCACTATCCATGTATAGTTATTTAAACTAAAATTCATTAAAATTACATAAAATTAATAATCTCACTTCTCAGTCACAATAACACAATTGACAACATAGCTCTAAGATATTGTCATCACCATAGTAAGTTCTATTGGACACTGCTAGTCTTCAGAATGACCTCAGGTTGGCTATTCCTAATGTTTCTTCATGACCAGTATCAGGTCATGCTTTTTTGCAAGAATACTGCAGAAATGATACCATACTCTTCTCAGTGCATCATGTAAGGGAATATTTTTCTTAATAACTCTGTTTAATTTGACTCTGTATTCCATACTACCATGAGCAACACTTACTATATGACTTTACAACAAAACACATAAACCAGTCTTTAATATCAGGAAACTTGTCAACCAGAAACTGGCTATAGTGTAGTTGCTAAAAGTCCAAGCTTCAACCACACAGCACTCTATATTTGTGTTCCAGCACTGCTGTTTTACAGAATAATCTACCTGTTTAACCAATGGGTATTTGTTGAGTGCATACTTGAATGCAAGCCTTTGCAAGATGTAGGTTTGTGGAAGACAGAGACAGAGACCTTCTTGGTATTATTATTGCATCTGAGTTAGGTAGGCTTCCCAGCAGCAGTGGACTGATGGAATGGAAGCATCCATAAATGCTGCAATGATTCAAAGACTACATAAAATTTAGTCACAGATAAAGTTTAGGAAAGCTGTATTGTGTCAAACACTCTTGGTAATTTTAAATGAAAGTTCTGTATTAATGGAAAGGGTTATATTTAACTCATCCATACTGGCTGCAGACCTACTTAGAGCTAACTAAGCCAACACAGAGTCACCCATAACTCTGCATGCAGTAAGGCTGGTAAAAAAAGAACAAGAGGATTAAATATTTATGCCCTTCCAAAGTCCAAGAAAAAGAGAAAGATATTATGTAGTCACACAAATTAGATTTTCTTATAAAAAATAAATCATATTCTTAATCTATCACAAGTACCTAGAAGCTATGGGCTGAAGTCTCCATTTTCAGTTTGCTGTTAAACACAGTCATCTTTTGGGGTCTGTGATTACATAGAATCCACATAAAAGATGCTTGTTCCTTGGATGAAAAGCTATGACAAACCTAGATGGCATATTAAAAAGCAGAGACATCATTTTGTCAACAAAGTCCTTATAGTCAAAGCCATGGTTTTTCTAGTAGTCATGTATGGATGTGAGAATTGGACTATAAAGAAGGCTGAGTGCCAAAGAATTAGTGCTTCTGACTGTGGTTCTGAAGAAGACTCTTGAAAGTCCCTTGGACTGCAAGGAGATCAAACCAGTCAATCCTAAAGGAAATCAGTCCTGAATATTCATTGGAAGGACTGATGCTGAAGCTGAAGCTCCAATACTTTGGCAACCTGGTATGAAGAGCTTTTCATTGGAAAAGACCCTGATGCTGGGAAAGATTGAAGGCAAGAGGAGAAGGGAGTGACAGAAGATGAGATGGTTGGATGGCATTACCGACTCAATGGCCATGAGCTTGAACAAACTCCAGGAGACAATGAAGGACAGGGAAGCCTGGTGTGCTGCAGTCTATGGGGTTGCAAAGAGTCATACATGACTGAGCAACTGAAAAACAAAAAACCAGACTTGTGACTAAAAAGCACAAACTCCATAGTCAGATTAGCTCTGTGAACTTGTCCAGTTACTCACCTCTCTGCACTTCAGTTTCTCCATTTGTGAAATGTGGACAGAAGAAGATCATAGGGTTCCTAGATCATAGGATTGTTTTGAGAATTAGAAGAGAAAATGAATGTAAAGACCTTTCTTAGCACAGATCTTGATGCTTGATGAGGGTTTAAAACTTGCTTACTGCTGTATTTTATATTTTATTTCTTATTTGTTTGTCATAACCCTACCAACTTCCTTTTGCTCCAATACATAAAATCATACCATTTTTAGAACTGAAAATGTTATTACAAGTCAGCTTGTGATCCATTTAATTTTTTTAGAAGAATAAACTGAAATTTGGTTTATTAGTACAGGTGTTGGTTGATTCTGCTACTGAAGGGCTGAGACCATGATAGAACTGCTTTCTACTACATCATATTGACTGTGAACCAGAACTGTTTTCTCTAGTCTGCATATTTATGAAGTACAACTATCAGCCTAGCATTAGGCTAAGCCCTGGGGATTAAAAACAAAAAATGATGACATCACCCCTTCTTGGGAAGGACTCACAAGGGAGAGGGGTGGGGGATGCAGGCAGGGAATGAAGGCATAAATCCATTGAAATGCAGTAAGATACCATAGCTAAGATAGGGATGCAAAAAGAACTGTGAGACAATTTGACTCTCTTAAGGAGTCCGGACTTTGACAAATCTTTTTCATAGATCCCAGAAATTCATGAAAAACCAACTGTAATCATCTTTTAAAGCAAATTCCACTGACATTCAGGTAGTCAGTTCCCAGCTAGGATTTGACTCATTTCTGCTAATATCATATCCCCTCCTACCAGAGCTGTTGGATCAGTTTACCATTGTGTATCTATAACCTCTTCACCTTCAGCCTAAATATGGTTTTTAATTTGAGAGAAGAGATAGATGAAACAACGACCTAAGAGCATAGATTTGTTCGAGTGAAATCTAATTATGCTACTGACTTGTCATATGACTTGGTAAAAATCATTTCTTCATGCTGCCTTTATCTACTTATCTCTAACAAAATCTTCTACTCCCCAGGGCTATTGTGGGAAAAATTTTGCCCAAGTGATGCATGATGCTTTGTAATTATCAAACATTTTGCACTAAAAATACTAAGTTCTTGTATTTGTCTATTCTGTTTGACACAATTATGATATTTGCAAACATGCAAATATACCAGAAGAAAAGTAGTAAAATAGTACTTGAAGGACTATAGAATCTTATTTGTTTCTGAATGAATATGCTTAATCATTCTACAAATGGATTAAGAGCTTTCATATAAGATTTGAAACATATATTCAACATGATTGCAGTTTAACTTTTAGGCAAGAAGTGATGGAAGTCCTTAGAATAAAGGAGGATAAAGAAGCTACCATCCTGAATCCTGTGATGAATTGCTGAATTCACCTTATTCATTTATTCATGCTTTCATTCAAAAACAGTGCATTGAATTCTTATATGTCAGTTGCCAGGTGTAAAAAATACAAGGTTGAATAAACAGCTTTTCTAGTGGTTAGTTAATGAGTGAATGAATAAATGAATCTATAAATATCTATCTCTCCCTGCCCCATAGAGGTCCTCATATTCTAATAGACAAGACAGAAATATACAAAACTAACTATAATGCAATGTGATAAATGCTATAACAGAATGATGTCCAAAGTGCCAGAGAAGGAGATACACTAGTTCTGCCTGACAACTATGTCAGAGGATTCTTCATACTGGCAATATTTCACTCAAATATTAAAGAATTAGCCAACTCAGACTGTCCCAAAGCCTATTATGGAAAGTTCAGCATATACTGATTTGTTTTAATCTTAAAAATCTTTAAATTTATTTATAGAATTATGGGTACATGGCTGAAAATTTGAAAGCCACAAGAAATAAGTTAAATATATATGCATATGTATGTATACACATATTGTGTACATGTATATTGTATGTATGTTGGTGTATGCACATATTCAAGTATATGCACATGCACATAAATGCTTTCAATTGTCTCCATTTTTCTACAAGTGGAAGTATAGTATATATACTATTTTCTACTTGCACTTAAAGCTGTTTCTTGGAAATCATTTCCCATCATATGTGTATCAATCATTTGCTTTAATAAAAAATCTTGCAACAAATATTTTGATAAAATATATTTAGTAGCAACAATATCAAGAAATAGGATTACAAAGTCAAGTTGCAGTTACATAGAATTTTTGTAGGTATTGCCAGGTTGCCTCACCATGTGCTCCAACAAGCAAGTAAAACAATGTCTGTTTCTCCACATTAGCATTAGCTATTTATTCATCATTAGCAGTTTGTTCCAAAAATTCTTTTGTTTTTTTTCTAATTTATTACATCCCTACTGCTTTTAAACACCTTAATTATCAGACATTTAATTCCTGTCTCTGACCCAGATCTGTTCTTGGCTAATGCCAAAATCACTGAAATGTTATGATAAATTTCTGTATCTGGAAAAAAATGGCAGATTAAGGGTATTTATAATTCTCACACATTTGCTTTTTGCAACTTTAGAACCATTTGACCAGGTTATATTTAAAATGTTGCATCATATTTTGGTGTAAATTTGGGAAATTTACCATCTTTATAAAATTGAATATGTTTATCAAGGTACTCAAGCCTTCTTTCATTCTATCAATAAAGCTCTTCTGCTTTATTGTTCAGGCCTTGTACATTTCTTAATCTTATAATATTAAATCCACATGTAGTATTTTTATCATTATGACTACATGAATATGGTTCTTTGTTGAGGTAAATAATAGCTTATAAATAATAACTTTTCATCAAATTTTCATCCTGACATAACTCTTTCTATTTTTCTGGAGCTGTCAATTGCCTCATATATTTTTCTATATGCTAAAATATCTTCTAAGTCTTCCCACATTCTCTAATGGCTCTGTGAAACTTCTCTCAGTATTCCACATGTTCAAACCTGCCAGACATATAAGTTCCTCCCTCCCTTTTTTTTTTTCTGGTGCTCTGCCTCCCAGAGTCCTCTGTCTTCCTACTCCACTGAGCTTTGTTGCTCTGCTGCAAACCTACCCTCCTGCATCTTCCTTTCCCAGTTACCTGGAGATGGCCTTCAGTTCTGTATTTTGTTGCATTCCCTGTCTCCTGGGTTCTGCATCTGGGTTTCTGATTCTTTGTGTTATCTCTCACCTTGGTGGAGTACATCCTCAGTAGCTTCATGAAGAAAGTTTTGACTTCCCCTCCCCTACTTTGTCTGGCTAAAGAATTCCTGGACTAAACATGTTTCACTCACATTTGAAGTCCTTTAGAGATAGGTCACCATTATCTTCCAGATCCTTATGTGTGTGTGCTGAGAAGTCTAAAGCTATTCTTTCCTCTTTTATGCTCTGCAAATTTGGAGGATCTTGTTTTTCCTTCTAATGTTTAGAATTACCATGCTAGGAGTATCTTTTTTTTTCAGCTACTCTACTGGGGATTCAGTGGGCTTAAGATTCATGTCTTTTGGTTCTGGAAAACGTTCTTGAATTATTTCTTTGACAGATTGCTTCTCATCACCTCCTTTTCTTTTTCTGGGACTCCTACTAATTAGATTTTGGATCTCCTGGTGTGATAAAATGAACGTTGATTCATTCACCAAATGCTAACATAGATGAATTACATTATACATTATTAAATTTGAAAGTAATTCTTTTATGAGAGGCACACCAAAACGGAGTGTCTTATAGTGATAATATGGAATTTGTTAATACCAATAAGTGGTTAAAACCAAAACTATTGATATGCATGTTTTAAGAGTTTTAAATGTATGCATGGCTTATGCATAGTCATTTAGTGGGCTATGGAAGCAGATGGGCCTGGGTTAAAATTTGGCTCTAAAGAATCTGCCTGCAATGCAGGAGACCCCGATTCAATTCTTGAGTTGGGAAGATCCCCTGGAAAAGGGATAGCCTACCCACTCCAGTATTCTTGGGCTTTTCTTGTGGCTTAGCTGGTGAAGAATCTGCCCACAATGTGGGAGACCTGGGTTTGATCCCTGGGTTGGGAACATCTCTTGGAGAAGGGAAAGGCTACCCACTCCAGTATTCTGGCCTGGAGAATTCCACCAACTGTATAGTATATGGATTTATAGAGTAGGACACAACTGAACGACTTTCATTTCACTTTCTAACTCTTAACTACCTGCCTAAATACTCTGAATCTGTTTCCATGTCTGCAAACTGGGGATAGTAATGATACTTGCAATGTATATAATTGTGCTATTTAAAAGAAAAAATGTACTTAAAGAACTTTTCATAAAGCCTGCCACATAGTAGATAGTCAATAAATAGTATATGTTCTTTCTAATGGAATGGGTTAAGGGGAAATTGATGTTTAGAATACATTACCTACTAGAATTTGATTTCATAGAGAACTGGCATGTGGTTTTCTATAAACATCCTGATGTTACTTTGTAAGACATGAACGCTGGACAAAATGAGCCATTCATCTGATTTTAGAATAGCATGTCCTTGATCCTCTACATAGAAAACCCTAAAGACTCTACCAGAAAATTACTAGATCTAATCAACGAATATAGCAAAGTTGCAGGATATAAAATTAACACACAGAAATCTCTTGCATTACTGTACACTAACAATGAGAAAACAGAAAGAGAAATTAAGGAAACAATACCATTCACCATTGCAACAAAAAGAATAAAATACTTAGGAGTATATCTACCTAAAGAAACAAAAGACCTATACATAGAAAACTATAAAACACTGATGAAAGAAATCAAAGAGGACACA